TTCTCTCTATTAGTTTTTTTCCCCCCCTCTATTAGATTCTACTACTTATGTTCATTTTCTGTACTCTTTGTAAAGATGGCTTGGGAATTTAGTATGTCTTATTAACCCAAGGAGTAATTCACTTTAAATTTTCCTTCAGGCTAATTTCCTTTATTAGCACACAAACAGTGCAAATAGATGGGTTATAGTTGTTAAATTAAAACATGAAAATGTATTTACTACTAGAATGTTTCTGGTACATTAAATACTAACAGACTAACTTTGAATGAGTTTCACTTTTGCTGGTGTTTTTTAAGAATAATGGTCACTTTGGGGCAAGGACTTTCTAGGTCTTCAACCTGAATTGGTCCATAGTTACCACTGGGGTTGAATGGGAAAAGGTACAGAGTATCCAAGAGTGCCTTTGTTATTTATCTATGGGATACTAGAAAAGAAAATTCAAAATCATGCACTGAAATTTGGAAATTGTCATGCAACAAAAAGGAGACCCTCCTGTGAGTCACTTGTAGGATCCCCTGAAAATTGGAATGGACCAGTCCTTGGACCCACTGTGACATGCATGGCAAGCCTACCAGTCCCATGCTGTTCTCCAAACCCCTTCTAATTTGAGGTCTTGCACAGTTTCTGGGTTTTTTTTTTTTTTTTTTAGTCTTCTTGGTAGAGAATTTTTTGATCATTTCTGCCAAATGTGATAGCTTTCATGGCTTTTTAAATGCATTTGCTTGTTCCATAGCTTCTAGGTAACTCACAGCAGCATTGTGTACATCACAGCTTATAATCATGTCTTACTTATCTTTAAAACTGTATTGGTATTCTCTTGTAATTGTTCTGTTGAAAAATAGAATTTTAGAGCTAAATGATACTTTAGAAATTATGTCTTCATATCCTCTAGTTGTAAGTCGCTCCCCTACTTATAAAAAGACCTTTCAGTTACAGTTGTTTATGTTAAAATCACAAGATTGGACTCTACTGGGTTAATTCTGGTCCAGTACTCTGAGATGAGTATGGCATGCTTATATGGAATTTTGCACTTGGTTTGTTTCCTTAGTGATGCCCAGCACTGCATTTCTCTGGGTTTTGTTTTATCTCCTTCACCTGGAATCCTCACTTGCACTCTTGTATAGAATTATTAGCTGTATTTATTACAGAGTGGAATCCATATTGAATTTTAGCAGCCCCCCCTCCCCCCACATCTGCCTCTTTGATGGTAGCTGGGTTTACTGGCACTCACTTATTAGTGCCCTGGGTCTTAACAACCTTATTCAAACAAAACATCTTAAATGGAGGCATTTAACAGGTCACAACAGTGAGCCATTTTGTAGCTTTTGGTGCAATAAAATGGGTATGTTGTGTTTGGGAATATAAGACCTCTGAGTGCAGCTATTCATTTTCTTCATCTATAAAACATTTTAGAATAACAGCTTACATCTGTTTGGGGTTTAAAATTCCACGTTTTGAAGAAACATCAGGGTTATGTAACTCCAAGCCAGAGGCAAGGAGGGAGCTAGCTCTCTGACTGGCCCAGGTTCTGTAGAAGCTGGGAGAAGTATTTGTTTTAGCTGTGGAGCCCTGTTTGCTGGCAGTGCTGCTTCCACATGTGGGCAACACATTTTCATTATTATTTCTTCATATTGTAAACTGTGAGACGTCAGTGATACAATTTTGACTTAAAGAATATTTGAAAATTTTTCACATATCAAGAATTTATTTTATGAGGGACATTTCACTACTAGAAGTCAGAAATAGATTAATTTATGCATTTACAGTACATGTGATTACCTTAGATTGTCAATTAATATTTTAGGGACTAAAGGGGGGTTTACTGTTGGCGCGATTTAAAAAATAAATACCCACGAGAATCTGCCCATCCTAAATGTATGATTTTTAAAGTTATTCTTTAAACTGAAGGGACAATTTAATGAATGACTTTTAGTAAAGGAATATGGGCAAAATGCTTAGCCATAGAATCCAAAATCTAATAGTATTAAGTACCAAATAAGTGCCAATAACATTCAGTGCAATTGTATAGGTTATTTTAATCAAGATGTTAATACACTAGCTTTGACTGTTAACAAGTTAAATATTTTTTATCTTATAAATGTGAAATATTTACATTCTTGTTAAAATGTGATATATTTACATTTGAGAAGGGAGAGTACAAGGGAGAAAATTAAAATAATCTGTAACTCTACTACCTATGAATCCTCTTGGGTTTATTTTATTACAGATGATAATTTTTTAAAAAATCTAGAAAACCTTTTAGAAACCTATACAGCAGTGGTTCTCAACCTGTGGGTCATGACCCGTTTGGGGGTTGAATGACCCTTTCTCAGGGGTCGCTTAAGACTATCCTGCATATCAGATATTCACATTACGATTCATAACAGCAAAATTATAGTTATGAAATAACAACAAAAATAATTTTATGGTTGGGGGTCACCACAACATGAGGAACTGTATTAAAGGGTTGTGGCATTAGGAAGGTTGAGAACTACTGTTATACAGTCAGGATTTTTAGGGTTTGATAATTAATTGGAAATACAGCACTTTAGTTTCAGAGCAGATAATGTCAGATGCTAGTTTTAGTGACAATAAAAAAACTAAATTTTACTTTCTCTTATAGAAACTTAATATTCAAGGTGGGGCGGCTGCTTATTTATGACAGTGACAAACTTCTCCGAGATTCTAGTTTGTCAAATTGATCCTGCTGTAAACAATGATTTTTTTTCCCCCTATTTCCTTTCTATGGCCACTGTCTGTCAGACCGAAGGCCATAATTTCTGTAGCAGAGTAAGACAGATGATATTAGACTTTAAATTTATGATTTAATGTAAATATTTCAGAAATTACAATGCCTCCTGTAATCCTAGCACTCTGGGAGGCTGAGGGGGTGGAGGTCAAGAGGGGTGGATTGCTTGAGCTCAGAGGTTCAAAATCAGCCATAGCAAGAGCAAGACCATGTGACAGGCACCTGTACTCCCAGCTACTTGGGAAGTTGAGGCAGGAGGATTGCTTGACCCCAGGTGTTTGAGGCTGCTGTGAGCTATGACAATGCCATGGCACTCCACCCAAGGCAATAGTGACTCTATCTTAAAAAACAAAAGTAAAATGCCTTTAATTCATGTTCTGATAAATCCATTAACTCCTCCAAAATTATGGAGGAACCCCCCCTCCCCCAACACACACACACAGTGATAATGTTCAAAGTCCACAGGTAATTTTTACTTGCAGCTGAGATGAATGTAGAGTAACAAACAACACTGGGGGGCCAAGATGCACTTGTGGCCATGGTGCTTGTCCTAGCATGGTCCATAGGCAGCAGGCCCCAACCCTTTTAGCACAAAGTCTGGTTTCATGGAAGATAGTTTTTACACAGACTGGTGTGGGGGAAAAGAGGATGGTTTCAAGATGATTCAAGCACATTACATCTCCGCCTCAGATCACTGGATATTAGTGCAGCCTAGATCCCTCACATGCATGGTTACAGTAGGGTTTGTGCTCCTCTGAGGATCTGATGTCACTGCTGATCTGACAGGAGGCAGAGCTCAGGCAGAGATTCCAGTGATGAGGGTGGCTGTAAATACAGATGAAGCTTCCCTGCCTCCCTGCCCTATTGCTCACCTCCTGCTGTGTGGTGGGGAGCAACTAAGTCTTAAGCTAGTGGGTGGGGGTGTTTTTATTTTAGGAAATAGGAGTAGATTTCTATTTTAGAACTTTGGAAACTTCCATTAAAAGCAAATAAAAAGTAAGTTCACTTGGTGAATTTATATTCAGGTATTCTTTAGGATGGAGGAGTTGTTAGACAGACCCTGGAGTCAGCATCCTCTGTTTGTCTTCAGGCAATTTACACAGCTTCTCTGAACTTCCGTCTTCTCTTCTAGAAAATGAGAATAGTAATAATAGTAATAATACCTCAGTGTCTTACAGGGCTGTTGTGAGGACTCAGTGAAATAAAACTTACCAAGTGCTCATGAGCACAGTGGCTGCCACGTTCTTGGTGATTACAGCCCTTATTGTTAGACAACTAATTGTACTTACTTATTGTGTTTAGGGTGGGGTCTTGACCACTCATACTTCACTTGGGACTAATCAGGCACGCTTCTTGCATCTGTTTAGAACCTCTCTGCTCCTCCAGCATTGATTTGGTGATCCGTCCATCTGCCCTTCCTTTGTTCTTAGAAGGGTGTGGCCTTCCCACTTCCTGTCTGGCTGCTCTTTTCTGGAGTCCCCTTTCTAAATCTAAGTGGTCCTGTCTCCTCTTTCTTCCTACCCTATCTCTTTCCCCCACCTACCCATGCCTTCTCTTCATCTTCCTCCCTCTCTTCTTTCCCTCCCTTTCTTCTTCCTCTCTCTTCCTCTTCTCTGTTCCCTCTCCTTCTTACCCATCCTTCTTCTTTCTCTTTCTTTGCTCCATCTCTCTCCCTTTTCCTCTTCCCTTTTTTTCCTCTCTCCACTTCGTTCTTTCCTTCCCTCCCTCTCCCCTCCTTTCTCTTTTCCCATTCCTCCTTGGCCTCGCTGCCCCCACTATCTCTTACCCTCTCTCTCATCCTGTTTCTCTTTTAAATCCTAACACTTTGCCTTATGAGGTGTGGACAGCCTTGGCCTTTAAGCAGAAAAATATCGAGTCTTTAAAGTGTTTATTATGATGGGAAATATTTATTTTGTTATTTTGGTATCCAGACTATGTGCTTCACTTTTCATTTCAAGAAGGCCTCACAGCATCATTTTATATCCTTGGGGGCTCAAAACATTAGAGGATCTATAGGTTATAGTTTAACTCTTTTTCTAAACATTATGTATATTATGCCTATACATTTGTTTGATATTAGCTTGGTTATACATACAATTCAAATGAAAAATGTTTTTAAATAATAACAGCTCTGACATTACTATATGAACCTGTAACTATTGTTTAGAAACATTATTTTATTTAATCAAATATTGTTTCATTTGTTCAAATGCTGATTTTTCTTGCTTATTTGATTTTTTTTTTCCTTCAGATTCCTTTTTCTTTGGTCCAGTTTCCCTTATGGGAGTCCTTAAAGGTAAGTTTTTCAATCTTCACATAAAATTTGTCTCTAATTTTCAGAAATACCCATTAGTTTGAGTGTAGAGGAGCAGAATATAATGTTGACACAAGGTTTAAAAACTCAAAAGTATTAGCACTTGAAAATATTTTTTATTTGTGTTTTCCTTATCAGTTCAGCCTTTAAACCTACTCAGGTTGCTGCCGTGCTAGGAAATTAGCACGTGGCTGAAGTCCACAGACCTTTGCTTTATTTTCTTCTGTATTGCACACTTTTTCCAACCGGTTGAATTTTTTTTTTTTTTAACTTTATATGTGTGTGTGTGTGTGTGTGTGTGTGTGTGTGTGTGTCTAGAGGTTGAGGAATAGCAGCAACAGCAAATGGAAAAGGACAGAAAGTCAGGGAAGCTAGGCCCTGAATATGTGTAGGCTGAGAAGGCAAGACCAGTTCCCCACATCAGGGCCTGCAAGAGTTTGGGGCTCTGACTGGTTCTCCCACCTTTGCTGCTTACCCTGGCCTAGGGAGAGGAACAAAGTGTAGTGAATTGTGAGTCCGTGCTGGGGAAGGTCACTCACCTGTTTAACAACCAACAAATTTTTAAAAGCCTTAATTTAAAACATGCAGAGATGTTGCATTGGTTTTTCACCTTCTGATGCCGTGATTTGAAAAGGGTAGGTCATGATATGACTTGTGTGGGTCTGAGCATTTTAAAGATCATAATAAAAAAGGATATGTTATCATTGTACATAGTAAGGATAAGTATTTTGTAAAATTTGACGTTGTGCTTGCATGTGTGTGTATACCGACATATGTATGCTGGGTTGCAATGTAAAATGTATTTTTTGCTGTGGATAATGGTCAAAAAGATTTTGAAAACTCTTGTTCAAGTGAAAATGGTTCCTAAATGACCAAACTGTAAAATCTCTAGGTAGGCATTAGATAATATAAAAATAAACGAATCACTCCACAGTTTTATAGTTATTAATTATGGAGTACTCATGTAAAATATCTCTTAAAGAATATAATAAGAAATATTTCATCTCTGAAATAAATTTTCTGTAAGTTATATACTAAAAGATAATAAATTAAGACAAAATATTATTCCTTTAAAAAATAAACTCTGGAATATGAGTATTGGGAAGTATTTCTTACACATAGTAAGTGATTTTTTTTTTTTTTTTGAGACAGAGCCTCAAGCTGTCCTCCTGGGTAGAGTGCCATGGCATTATAGCTCACAGCAACCTCCAACTCCTGGGCTTAGGCGAGTCTCCTGCCTCCGCCTCCCAAGTAGCTGGGACCACAGGCGCCTGCCACAACGCCCGGCCATTTTTTGGTTGCAGCCGTCATTGTTGTTTGGCGGGTCCGGGCTGGGGATTCGAACCCGCCACCTTAGGTGTACGTGGCTGGCGCCTTAGCCGGTTGAGTTATAGGCGCCGAGCCCATAGTAAGTGATTTTTAAAGAATACTGCACATTTAATACAATTGCTGGGATCTTTTGTTATTGTTTTGTTTGTTTTTTATTTTTATCATTTCCTACATGATGCCTGGTGAAAATAGATTTCTCAGGCAGCATTTCAGCATGTGATGTAACAGCTCTCCAATGAGAAGGTCACATTCCATTAGCATAACAGTTCTCCTTCTTAGTGTGTGACAAAAGAACAATGAAGCCAACAGCTGTCCAGCAAACAAGACTCACTTGATCAGTGTCTCAATAACCAGCATTCACAGATCCTGCGCCCTCCACCATCCTTATGCCCTAAGTCTGCAAAGGAATGTTTTGACTCCAAAGGAAGGAAAGAGCATAGGGTTTCTTTTCATTATTAAGAACATTTGTGGAGTTCTAGCTAGTTAAGAAATGTGTAGCAGTTTTCACAGTAATCATAGATAACAGTGCTCTATGTTTTAAAAAAATTTTTTGAGCAATGTTGACATTATATATATATGTATATATTTTTTAGGTCAGGATTTCTTGAGGAATAATTTACGTATGGTAAAATTCACCCTTTATAAATGTACATTTTATGATTTTTGACAAATGTTTATAACCACCATCATAACTAAAATAGAGAATATTTCCATCACTCCAGAAAGTTCCCTTGTGCCACCTTATAGTAAGTGCCCACCATCTAACTTCAGTCCCTGCCAAGCATTGTTCTCTACATTAGTTTTTCCTTTTCCAGAATGTCATGCAGACAGAGCAGACTCCATGGCATTTTGTGCCTCGCTTCTTTCATTTAATATAATACCTTTGAGATTCATTCATGTTGTTTCTGCCAATAGTTTCTTTCTTCTTCTCACTTTCCATGGGTGTATGGATGTACTGTAGTTTGCTTATTCACTAGTTGATAGATATTTCAGTTGTTTTCCAGTTTCCAATGATTATGAATAAAGCTGCTTTAAGTCTTTGCATATAGTATTCATATGAACGTATGTTTTTCTTTTTCTTGGGTAGGTACCTGAGAAAGGCATCATTGAATAATAGGGAAAGTATATGTTTGATTTTATAAGGAAAGGTCACAGTGTTTTCCAAAGTAGCTACACCATTTTGCATTCCCATGGACAATGATGGGAGTTCCAGGAGCTGTCCATCCTTGTCACTGCTTGTTGTTGTTAAATTTTTAAAAATTGCAGCCATTCTAATAATTGTAAATTGCTATTTCATTGGGGCTTTAATTTTCAGTTCCGTCATGACTAAGTAATGTCAAGCATTTTGTGACATCTGTGTGTGAAATCTGTGCTTTTGTGAAAGTGGACAGTATTTGGCATGTTTTTTTATCTTTGTGTTTACAATTTAATTAATTTAAACTTGTTATTGCAGCCATAGAGGAAGATTGTATTATACGGGAAGATTTCTTTTTTCTTTTCTTTTTTTTTTTGACGGAGTCTCATTTTGTTGCCCTGGGTAGAGTGCCAAGGCATCATAGCTCACGCAACCTCAAACTCAGGCTCAAGTGATCCTCTTGCCTCAGTTTTTCATTTTTAGGGGAGGTGGGGTCTCCCTCTTGCTCAGGCTGGTCTCAAACTCGGGAACTCCAGCAATCTACTATGCACGGCCTGGGATTTCTTTGTTGAGTATTTATGTGGGAGTACTGCTCAGAAAAATTTTTCTCAGCCAAGACTTTAGCAGACTGCATTCACCTAGTGTCTGCAGCCCTGGCTGGTCTCTATTATCTTCAGCTTAACTGCCTTAAAGTCATGGTCATTGTAATGCCACTTCTTCCTGCTCTCTCACCATTTCTATTGATCACTATTCTCCTGACACCTGATCTCAAACCCCAGATTAAAATTTGATTCTCTCATTTCTCTTTCTCTGTATAATGTTGCTCCCCTCATCTTGGTGACACTGCGTTTTTGGAGTCCATGGCCACTGTTTGCCTGATTCTTACCACCTTACGCCTGGCTCCAGTCCTGACAGGTTCTTTGCTTTCTTACCTGTGCTGCGCAGTGAATTTGTGTGATCTTCCTTAAACATCTCTTTGAAGTAACATGTATGTTCTCAGAAATATGCGGTTTTCCAAAACATAAAGGATAAAGTTGTTGGCACTCAGGGATCTGCACACTGGACTTTTGAGCTTCCTTCCCCTGTACTTTTTTTTCCTTCCCAAATCCTTCCCCTGTATCCAGAAAAGCCTCTTATTGCCTCTAAACATGTTCTTTCTCCCTCAACCCTCCCTTATTCTTTGACGTCTGTCTGAAATGTGATTCTAAGGGTCCAAAAGCCATGCCTCTTTCAAAGTTCAGTTCGGATTTTAATCTCCTGCTGGAAGTCTTCCAATCCAGGTCTTAAAGATTTCCCCTTCCTTCTCTGACAGTTGTCTGTATTTAATCACACAGAATATGGTGTGCTGTGTGCACTCAGTGTACCTTTATTGCCTTGGCAATTCTAGCTGAACACTGTTGCATTTCATAGGAATGCGGAGATGAATAAAACATAGCGAATGCCCTTGAGTAGCTTAGAGCCTATCAGAGAGGCACACAGCCCACAGGTAATGTAAACAGAACGTGTCTCTAATCGGAGATTACTCAAGGTAAAGTGGGAGCAGGTCCCCTGGCTCTCCAAATTCTGTTAGTGCACTACCTTCTTTCTTATGCTTTTGGTTCCTTTTTTTTTTTTTTTTAACATGTACTCACATATTAAAACATATTTTAGATGAAAGAAGACATCATAAAGAAGAGGGGAAGGAAAAGGGTAGAATTATCATATCCAGAACCTCAGAGAAAGTATTTTTCCTTTAAGATTTATGTTTACTTTGGAACTTTTTGGCAGCCCAACAAGAAGGGAAACGTGATAGATTTCATGGTTTTTATTACCTGACAGAGACTCATAGTTTATTTTTCCATCTCATTCCATGGGTTTGGGTGCCTTCTGTGTACTGGCTTGTACACTTTATAACACTGTGGCAAACCTCTTCTTCTGAGCCTCAGCCTCTGATGACCACCTGCCTGGTTGATATCTTTACTGATGGTATCTCAGGGTGACCAGTGGGAATAGAATTCTCATTGCCTCTCCCTATCCTCTTTTCCATTGTCCCCTTCTCAGTAAATAAGGCAATTATCTGTTGCTTGCTCAAGTAGAAACTAAGAATCATTCTGGAGTTCTCTGATCTCTCAGCCCTTATAATGAGAGCCTTCAACAGGTCGTTTCTTCTAATTCAAGCCTCCCCTCTTGTTTGAATTGCTGTATTGGCCTCTTAGATGGTCTCCCTGTTTTTACTCTTGCCTAAAATTTCTTCACACAGCAGCCAGAGTGATTTTCATAATAAAGAAAGAAACCAGATCACAGCACTTCCTGCTGAAACCTATCAGTGACATCTCTTTGAAAGAATGAAATCCAGAGTTTAATCTCTGGCTGACCAGGCCCTCACAGCCTTATCCCATGGCCCTTGCCCACTGCACTTGGCCACCCCGGCCCCCTGCTGCTCCACAGCCCAGCACTTCCCCTCAGTTCCTTTTGGATGCGCCAAACTGGTTCTTACTCCAGGGCCTTTACATTTATCACTCTCTATGCCAGAAATATT